ACTGATTTCCTGTCTTTTGGATATATCCCTTGCAGTGGAATTGCTGGATTATATGGTAGTTCTATTTTTAGTTTTTTTGAGGAACTTCTATAGTGTTTTCCATAATGGCTGTACTACTTTACATTCCCACCAACACTGTACAAGTGTTTCTCTTTCTCCATATCCTTACTAGCAGCTATTTTTTGTCTTTTTGATAATAGCCATTCTAACTGGGGTGAGATAGTATCTCATGGTTTTGATTTGCATTTCCGTGATGATTAGCGATGTTGAGCATTTTTTCAGATATCTGTTGGTCATTTAAATGTTTTCTTTTGAGAAATGTCAATTCCAATCTTTTGTCCATTTTTAATTGGATTATTGGTTCCTTTGCTGTTGAGTTGTGTGAGTTCCTTATATATTCTAGTTATTAATCCCTTGTTGGATGGATAGGTCACAAATATTTTCTCCCATTCTGTAGATTGTCTTCAACTTTGTTCACTGTTTTCTTTGCTGTACAGAAGCTTTTTTTCTTGATGTAAATCCACTGTCCTATTTTTGCTTTTGTCACCTGTGTTTTTGAAGTCTTACTCAAAAAATCTTCATCCAAACCAACGTCCTATAGTGTTTTCCCTTTGTTTTCTTCTAGTAGTTTCATAGTTTCAGGTCCTACATTTAAATGTTTAATCTCTTTTGAGTTTATTTTTGTATATGGTGAAAGATAGAGATCTAGTTTCATTATTCTGCATATAGATATCCAGTTTTCTCAACACCATTTATTAAAGAGACTGTCTTTTCCCTAATGTACGTTCTTGGCACCTTTGTCAAAAATGAATTGGCTGTGTTTGCTTTTCCTGAATTATTTTATCACTATACCATAATTCCCTGGGGTGGGATTACTGGATCAAGATGTAAAATAATAATATGTTGTCTTCTTACTTTCTATAACACTAATGCCTTCTTAAACTGAGCACATGGAACATGATTTAAACTCTTCTGGATAATTTGGGCCATTTTCATAATACTCAACTTTTATGAAGTGCCCATGGGGATTGTTGTGCCCTCACTGAGAAGCCCCAGTCAACTGGTGTTAGGGGTCATTTAAGGACTCTGGCCATTGTCTTTTATTTTTTTTATTGTTGCTTTCAGCTGTCATTTTCTCTTGGTTTGGTTTGCTGTTTGTGATCTATTGCCTTGTTTTACACAAATCCGTGTGGATAAAATCCTAAAATCCTGATGGTGTTTCCATAGTTCTTCTGCAAAGCATAAAATGCACTGGGTTTGCCAGGAACATTTCCCTTTGCTACCCAGTTACCTTAATAACCCTCTGAGTGCCAGATAGCTCTAATTGCCAGAGGTTTAACTGATGGATGAGCAATTTTATCACTGAGGGTTTTAAAATGTGATCCAAAAGTATGGAGTGAGTCCGTAACTACATAATTTTATACCATTCTATTTTTTTCCATTTCCCTTGCAAAATCTCCAGCCCCTTGAGGCTTGTACTACCCAGATATATCACCAACCCTCCCTCCTTGTTGCTGTCACCTACCAATTTCATAGTATTTCCCCACATTCACAGAAGACCTAGCTCCTGCTTCATCCCAACTCTCACCATGGTTCTTGACAATTTCAGCATCCAATGGATGATTCATATAACTGTGTGTTCTCTGGCTTCAGGCTTCCTCATCTCCAGTATAGAGATTATTGAAATTAATG